CCCACTCCCAGGGTTAGTTACCTGTGCTGCATACCCAACTTTTGACACATACTCTGGGAAACCAATCTCAAGTCTTTATGCTTGCCTGGCAGATACTTCAGTGACCAATTCATCCTACTCTGGACCTATTCTTAGGTATTTTTTATTCATTTCTTCTTCTCCTATGTATCAGATCTCAATTGCATTTTTCCCTACTCCCTCTCCTCCCAGTCCATCCTAACCCCCTACCCACTCTTCCTTTATTTCCTTGCAGAAAACAGCAGGGATATCAACCAAACATGGTATGTCAAGTGCAATAAGACTAGACACCTCCCCTCATATTAAAGCTGGACAAGGCATCCCAGTAGGAGGAAAGGGGTACCAAAAGCAGGCAAAAGAGTCAGAGACAGCCCTCACTCTCAGTGATAGGAGTCCCACAAGAAGACTAAGACATACAACCATAATGTATATGCAGATGGCCTAGGTCAGACCCATGCAGGTTCCCTAATTGCTGGTTGTGTCTCTGTGCGCTCCTGTGAGCCCAGGTTAGTTGATTCTGTGGGTTGTCTTGTGATGTCCTAGACCCCTCTGTAGTGGAGGCCATGGGAGAGGATCAGTAGTCCACAATGGAGCTTATGGAATACAGCTCACTGGTTAGCACAGCTACACTGAGTGTACCCTGGAGAGGCAAAGCTCCCCTGCCCAGGGGGTGTTGTCTCCAAGATGTCCCTTGCTCCTGCTGTGCCTTCTCCTACTTGCAGCTATCCTGTACCTACTGTGTTTGGCGTGGTCTGATTGTTGACTGGAAGAATCCCACTGTATCTAGAATAGTGTGATTATTTCATGGGAAAATTCTACTCCTCACTAGGTAATTTTCTTTCAGATCATAATGAAGATGATTTTCATAGAGCAATGACAATTAGAGATGTGAGAGTTGCTAAGGATGGAAAATGAAAATAAGGAAGTTTCATACCTTATAGATCAATGAACCTGTGGAGAACAGGCTGATAGTCAAAACGGCAATTATGTCCCTTTACCCCAGATAGGTCTGAGTTCATTGGTCATTCTGTAGTTTACAGAATTAATCACAGGTTTTGGTGTGCACCTTAAGAAAACAAAATTGTGAAAGGAAATTAAATAGACATAGATGGTTAACTAGACAACTTAAGTAAGGTTTTGTAGAATAATATAATAATAATATTGGTGTCCCTCCCAACTCCTCCACTGGAAGTCTTGCCTGGTTACAGGAGATAGCCAGTTCAGGCTCCATTACCACCACCACCCCATTACTAGAAGTCTTGACTAGAGTCACCCTTGTAGATTCTCAGGGGTTTCCATTGCACTGGGATTCTACCTAACCCCTAATATGTTCCCCAATTCCCTTGTCTCTCCCAGTACTGTCTCCCTGCATCTTCCCTATCCGGTCCCTCCTGTTTCTGTCCCCACCTGCCACCAGTCCACTTATGATATCTATTTTATTTCCCGTTTCCAGAGAGATGCATGTGTATTCTTAAATAATTTTGGTGGCTGTTGTAAATGAAAATTTTTTTTCCTGGTATATTGTGGGAACCCACAGTAACTCCACTTTGTGGCTTGATTCCATCTTGACTCAAGGTCAGAGAGTTCAAGCTTGTATTTCCTCTTCTAGGCTGAATAACAGGATGATTAGCCAGACGCCTGACTACTTAGATGTTTCGCTCTTCAAGGCCAAATAACAGGATGTTTGGCCAAAGGTGTGCTTACCAGATGTCTTGAGAATTAAGGAAGTGTTTATGTTTGTTTGTACCATCAACTATGGTGTCCTTTAGAGGGGGGGACCTTTTGCCCCCCTTGCTTTGGGTATAAAACGACTGTGAGAAATAAATTCAGGGCTGCTATGTTATTGACACAGAGCCTTCCCAAACTGTTCTTTGTCTCTGTCTTTTTCTTTTAGGTCTACAACTCTGTTTTTCCTATCTATTATTTCTCAATCCTCACTCCCCTATTCAGGAGTATTCGACAGGTTGGGTGGTGCCTGGTAGTGTATTAATTGAAGTAGTCATTACTTTCATGTAGAAAAATACTGTTATTTGTGTGTTCATTCTGTATTATGAGTCTATGTAACAATTGTTGGTCAAATATTAGAAACTTCAGGGAGAGTCATCAGGGGCTTTTAAGTATAAAATCATAATACCTGAAATTTAGGTAATTCACTCTAAGTGTCTTGTTCATTTTTTCTTTTGTTTTATTTTTCTGACAAATATTTCAAGTACTGTATTGTTCAAGAGTGGTGACAGTGGGGATCCTCATTTTACATGGACGATTAGAAAAAATATTTTATTTTCCTCCATTCTGAATAATCCTGGCGATTCATCATGTATAACCACTATTTTTTTTTCTGAGATGTGAGATTCCTGTCCCTGTCTTTCTAAGGCTTCTTAGCATGAGGGATATTGAATGTTGTCAAGGGCTTTTCCACATCCATTGACACGACCATGTGGTTTTTGTTTTGATTCTGTTATGTGCTGCAATGTACTGATATATTTGCACGTATTGGGACAACATTCCCTGTAATGAAAATGTTTTGCAGCTTCCAGCCATTCTTTCTTTGTTCTGCACATTTAGTGTTTTGGCTTACATGAAACAGAAGATTTCGTGTATTTCTGGTTCTCTATGCCTCTTGCACCTGGATATTGGTGTCTTTCCTTAGATTTGAATAATTCTTCTGTAATTTGGTTGAAAATATTTTGTGTTTTCGATCTGGATTTCTTCTTCTGTGTCTTTGTTTAGAAGATTATGTCCTTTCAGAGAGTCCCAGAGTTCCTGAGTGTTTTGTTTCTTGGATTTGACTTCGGTTTGTCAATTTCTTTCTCAGAGTGGTCAAACTCCTCCACCTTGTGTTCAAGGCCTGCCCCTCCCCTTTCCACGTTGTCCGTTCTACCCTCGAGTCTTTCCATTCAGGTGTCTTCTGTCAGACTTACTCACAGATAGTAATTTGAACTGTACAAAAATAATCAAATTAACCTTCTTTCTTCAGTCAAGCATAACTCAAAGTAATGTGTACATTTGTAGGATCTGCCTTTGTGAAAATGCAGTTTGTCAATACTGCTAGGATACTGTATCTATTATTTGAGGGCATAATAAAGCTTACTGGCATTATTACTTCCTGTTTGTTTTGTTTTAGATTTTTTATTCAGGATTTCTATCTTTTTATTGAGTTTATTTTCTGATCCTGAAGTATATCACTTACCTTATTCAACTGTTAGTTTGTGTTTTCTTGATTTTCATTTCATTGTTTAATCATATCCTCTTTCAGTTTTTTTCAAACTTATTTATTAATTTTATGTTGTTAAAACTATTTTATACTCTCTCTGGCAACTATCCAATAGAATAATAGAATGTTATAAGATATTTGTTCAATTTTGACCTTGTTATTTATACCTATATTTTCATCTTAAAGATCCCAAACATTTGAAAAACTAAAAATATCTTTAGACATCCTTTTCTTAAAATAACTTGTTTTTATGGTTCAAAACCTATTATGTTCATGGTAGAGGTACTAAAATATAAAGATAAAGATTAATACTCCTCAGTTTATACTGGAATTACATCCTGACTAGCCAAGGTACACTGAAAACAATGTCAGTTTTAATTCATTTTAAGTACCCAATGTTCTATTAATCGGAGTAAACCAATATAGGGCTTTTGAAATGTTGCCTGGTTTTCTTGTTCAAATAGGAACTATGATGAGTTACTGCTGCCTGTTTTCACAATGTAATATTACATATAGAGAGCCCAGGAATAAAGATAAAATCTTAGCAGTATTTGCTGAATAATCATCACTTTTTCAATATCATAAAGTCAATAAGTTATGTCCATCCACTGTAAACTAGAAACTATCTTTAAAGATATTAAATAGGATCATGATAAGGAAACTTGCAGAGATGACCAAACCAAACTCATGGCAACTCATGAAAGTTGGATCAATGGCGGTGGAGCCTGCATTGGCAGTGGAGTCCATGGGACTGTACTAGGTCCTCTGCATGGTAGACAATTGTGTAGCTTGATCTGCTTGGGGGGCCTCTTGGTGGTAGAATCAGAATCCATCCCTGTTGCATGAGCAGGCTTTTTGGAGCCCACTACCTATGATGGGACACTTTGTTCAACCTTGAGGTAGGGGGAAGGGTTTGGACTTGCCTCTACTGGATGTGCTTCCCCATTGGAGGCCTTGCCTTCTTGTGGGGGGAATGGGGGGTGGGTTGTGGAGGAGGAGGCTGGGGGGGAGGAGGAAAGAGAGGGATCTTTGATTGGTATGTAAAATGAATGAAAAAAATTTTCTTAATAAAAAAGATATTAAATAGCAATTCTTAACACTGTTTCCCCTAATGATAAATACAGCGTTTTTTTTTATAAATTTGATTAGTTTTAGTGTTATTCTCCTCTATTAATCTGAGCACAAAGTTTGTATGTGCTTATTGCCTGTTTATCAGGTATAGAGAATATTTATAGGTTTATATCAGTGGCAGAATCCTATACCTAGTTAAATTTTAATTTCTTTGTATAATTGTTTAAATATTTCAAAGTGCCAAATTAACATAGAAGTTCATACTAAAATGTTTCTTAGATTTGTTTATTAATACAAAGGTAGTATTTAGCAAATAGCTATATTCATTAGTAAGTTAAGTATGACAGTTTGATTATTAGATATTTGTGAGATAATACTAATTTGAAGATGAAACAATATGTCTTCTGTTCACCATGAATCAAAGCCTTAGATTGAAATGAGTGATGGGTAGAAACAGACACTAACAGGTCACATCTATTGTCTTGCCATTGGTTACTGTGATAGCACACAGCCCATTCTGCTTTAGGAGTTCTGAATGTACTGCTTTGCATTTGTGGCAGTGATCTCTCAGGCTCCAAATTATTAATCACCATACATCAACACAAGTTTATATTTATGAGAAGAAATGAGTTAAACAATACTTCAAACATAAAGTAAACTGTATTAGTAATAGACATGCACATTTCTAAACAAAGGTTCATTCACCCATTGAACCAAGAACGTTTTTGGAGCAACTGGGATAATTGATGTGACCATCAATGCACGTTGTACGTAATGGAGGTGATGTTTTTGTCTGTTTATATCCAGATTTACACTGAAATTCAACATAGTCTCCTGATCGGATATAAAGCTTTTTGTTTTCTCTCCATCTGGAAATTATGTTATGTCTTTCCATAATTTCTTCCGATATTATACATGCATCTGAAAGAAAAATTATCAAAAGTTTATTAATACATAAACCTACAGTGACTCAGCTTTCAAGTATTATTTCTCAAAAATTTTAAAAACCTGTATTAAACCTGCACATAGAATCAGTTTGTATTGAATAGCAAATAGTATCAAAACAATGTTTTTAATGTGATAATTGGATTTCAAAACAAGAATACCTAATGTGAATGAAATAAGACACCAGGATTTCAGGACATTTGTGGTTGTTTGCATTGATTTAGATATTGGGCAAAGGTAAAACATTTGAACCTTGACATGTATATGATATTCAGACCTAATGTTCAGTGAGATGACTATACTGAAAAAGACTGCTCTTAGAAAGCCAAATCATAACCACCTTCATAATGATCATCATTCACTCACAGGGTTGTAACTATGAATAGTGATTATTGTGTTATGATTTTGATTTTCATAGTTTTAAAAATAAACCTATCAAGTTATCACACTGGATAAGTTAGTAACCCGCTTGGAAAGCAGCTTCAGCAACTACAACCCTGTCCCCTGGCCTTCTTTACATTGCAAGAAAACCAAGAGGGCATAATGTCCAAGTTCATGCTGTGTGCAACCAATTCACTTAGTGCTGCCATCCTGCCCCACAACACATCTGATCATACTCTACTGTAAAGGCTGGGACTAAGTACTACAGACTGGATGACAAATTCCCATAACCATTTCCGATTGCAGCCTCTGGTGTCATGCCATTGTCTAGTAAAAGGAGAATCCTACTGACCTCCCTCTGCTGAGGGTTCCAGAAAAAAAAAAAAGCCCTTGTGAGTAGCAGATCTGCCAATAACAGTTTCTGAGAAAATCTGCATCATCTTCTATGAGCTGGCACCCACTGTAGGAATCTTGACACATTAAGAGCCTGGTACCCTGAGCTGTCTCTATCACCCCACCTGTCAGTTGAAAAGTTTTAAAAAATCATTTTTTAAAAAACACAATTATTTCCAAGGGAAAACAGAAAAAAATTAAAGAAATTAAAAAAAATCCAATGGGGGTTGTGAGTGAAAAAATGTATGGGCAAGATACAGTTTGAAACAGACTCAGACCAAATAATTGGAAATTTGACAGCTGTATAAGTTAATTAAAATAGGTAAAAAATGTCATTAGGAGAAAAATCCTGACCATTCCAAATGACAATTCTAACTGTTCAGAAGTTCATTGAGATGCATCAACTTGGAGTCAAATAACCAACCAACCAACCAAAAAACCAATACAAAATAAAGCATAATCAATTAAAAACTGAATGAATGCATATCTAGCATAACTAAATGTGCTCTAGAGAGAGCAACACTCAAAAATGAAATATAACTACCAACATCAAATATTAAATACATATAAATCCCATGAAAACAGAAGATATAATAAAAGTATAGAGAAGAGGCAAATATAGGTACAAAAATTCTCTTAAAAGTTTGTTTTAGAGCTGGGTGGTGATGGTAGATTCAGTTGAGGCAGGTCCAATCCCCTCCTCCCTATACCAAGGCTGAGCAAAGTGTCTCAGCATAGGCCTTAGGTTCCAAAAAGCCAGCTCATGCACCAAGGACAGGTTCCGGTCCCATGGCCTGGGTGCCTCCTAAATAGTTCAAGCTAATCAACTGTCTCACTTATCCAGAGGGCCTAGTCAAGCTCCATGGCGGCTCCTTAGCTATTGGTTCACAGTTCATGTGTTTCCACTAGTTTGGCTATTTGTCCCTGTGCTTTTTCCAGTCATGGTCTCAATATCTCTTGCTCAGATTAGACACTCCTGGAGCTCCATCTGGGGCTTGGCCGTGGATCTTTCCATCTGCTTCCATCAGTCACTGGATGAGAGTTGTATCACGACAGCTAGTGTGTTTGGTCATCCAATCACCATAGTAGGTCAGCTCAGGTATTCTCTCAACCATTGCCAGTAGTCTATCATGGAGGTATCTTTGTGGATTTCTGGGGACCTCTCTAGCACTCTGCTTCTTCCTATTCCCATGGGGTCTTCATTTATCATGGTATCTCTTTCCTTGTTCTCCCACTCTGTTTCTAATCCAGCTGGGACCTCCCATTCCCCTAAGCTCTCTTTCCCCTGACCCTTGCCCTCCATTACCTCCCCCACTCACCCCCAGTTTGTTCATGTAGATCTCATCAATTTCTCTGTAGTTGGGTGATCCCTGTGTCTTTCTTAGGATCCTCTTTATTAGGTAGCCTCCCTGGAGTTGTGAGTTGCAGTCTAGTTATCCTTTGCTTTACATCTAGTATCCATTTATGAGTGAGTACATACCATGTTTGTCTTTCTGAGTCTGGGTTACTTCACTCAGGATGATATTTTCCTGATAGTTCCATCCATTTGCCTGAAAACCTCATGATCTCCTTGTTTTTCTCTGCTGAGTAGTACTCAAGAAATTAGACATCAAAATACCCAACAGTCCAATTAAAAAATGGGCTGTAGAGCTAAACAGAGAATTCTCAACAGAGGAAACGCAAATGGCTGAAAGACATTTAAGGAATTGCTCAACATCCTTAATCATCAGGGAAATGCAAATCAAAACAACTCTGAGATACCATCTTATACCTGAATGGCTAAGATCAAAAACACTGAAAACAGCTTATGTTGGAGAGGATGTGGAGCAAAGGGAACACTCCTCCACTCTTGGTGGGAATGCAAACTTATACAGCCACTTTGGAAAACAACATGGCACTTCCTTAGAAAATTGGGAATCAATCTCCCTCAAGACCCAGCTATACCACTCTTGGGCATTATGCCCAAGGAATGCTCAATCATACCACAAGGACACATGCTCAACTATGTTCATAGCAGCATTATTTGTAATAGCCAGAACCTGGAAACAACCTAGGTGCCCTTCAACTGAAGAATGGATAAATAAAATGTGGTGCATATACACAATGGAGCTTAATGTTTTTGTGGGACTCCTGACTATGAGTACAAGTGGGTCTCTGTTGTGATATTTTATTTGTGCTCTACCAAATAAAGCTTGCCTGAAAATCAGAAGAAGGAGATAGCCACTAGTTAACCATAAAGGTCTGGAGGTGTGTACAGACAGACAGGAAGTGATAGAGCTGGGCAGAGAGAGGAAGTGATAAGATGGGGTGGAGAGAGAAGCTTGCTCTCTTTTGGCTGAGGATTTTGTAGGAGTAAGAACTAGCGGTTTGCTCTCTGCCTCTCTGATCTTTAAGAATTTTCCCCAATATCTGGCTCTGGGTTTTTTGTTAACAAGACTGTTTAGTAATTCATGTTACAGGTCTCTGACTCTTTTGCCTGCTCTTGGAACTCTTTCCCTCCTGTTGGGTTGCCATATCCAATATTTATATGATGGTTTTTGCCTCATCTTATTATATTTTATTTTGTCATGCTTGGTTTTTATCTCCTAGATTCCTGTTCTCTTCTATTGAGAGACAGAAAGGGAGCGGATCTGGGAGCAAGAGGAAATGGGGAGGTGATTGGGAGGAGGAGAGGGATGGGAAACTCATCAGGGAATGTTGTCTGAAAAGACTATCTGTTTTCAATAAATAAAAAATGACTATATGATCAGCAGTAACAGGTGTCCACTCTCCCAAATCTTTTTACTGAAGTATCAGAATTTGAATTTTAATAATTTGGAAGATAAACTATACAATTATTGAGGAGAAAGTCAAATCATTTTATTCTTATACATGTAAATCCCAAAAGTTCACCCAAAATATAAGAACTGAAAACAAAACTGATTAAGTAGTGATATGCAGTATCATTATACAAAAATCAGCCCTTTACTATAGATCAATTCCATTGTTTCCTGAGAATTAACAATAAAGTCAATCTTGTTATCATTAATGTCAAAAAATTAATCTAGCAATGAATTTAACAACTGAAGTGACAGACTTCTACCACACTATCAGTTAACTGCTGAAAGAATCTGAAAAGAGAAAAATGGAGAAATTTGTTTATTAATGTATTGTAATATTAATATTTAAATGTCCATGTTTTCCATGCCAGTTAGGATACTCTGTGAAACCCCAGTGAAGTACCAATAACATTTTTCCCACACAATTGTGTAGATTTCCATTATCAAACTAGACAGTGGAGTGTGCCTGTAAGCCAAAATCTTTCTGAGATTTTACAGTAGGAGTCAGGCATTCATTCCTGACTTGGGTTGAAAAACCTGGATTCACTTCATTATTTTAAAAGCCAGCAAATTTTTTCCTCCCAACCAGAAAGCTGGTGCCAACATGTGTTATTTGATTGACAGCCTGTCAGCTAATAAACTAAGGGATGAGCTACCTCTGTTGCACTTCTCCCTCTGCATGTTCCCTCCCTGCACTCCCCCCTCCATGGGGACTTTTTGGTATTTGAACTGATAAATGCTTGCCTTACCTCTGTCTGACCTGTGTATGCAAGCTAGGTGTATTTTGCTTGTCCCTTTATCGTTAAGCTATATATAAACTAGCCTGTTACCCCAGTAAACAAGCTGCCCCAGATGCAGATTTCCAAGTTGTTCCTCACACTTATATATTCAAACCCCCTGGCACCCTAGCCTCTGTTCTCCTCTGGGTCCTAAGACCGCCCCACCTGCCATGGAGACTTGGGAAAAGGGGATGGATAACAGCACAAAAGGAGGGGTTCTAAATTTGATGGAAGAACAATAGAATAAGTAAACAAATGGAACTTGAGCAAAAAGAATAAAATCTGGAGATATCATAATACTGTATTTAGTTATATACCAAGAGCCCTACAGTAACCAGAACACCATGACACTGGGATAAAGGGTCCAATGAATGAGAAAAGAGATCTGAAAAATTGATGTATGCATATAATGTTAATTGATATTAATAGTTTCCAAAACATATGTAAGAGAACTTATAGCATATTCAATAAATGATACAAGGATAATTGATATCCATGTAGAAATAAATAAAATTTGATTCCTGCCTCTCATTCTGGGGGAAAATAATCAACTCAAAGTTGATCAAAGACATAAATGTAAGAACAGAAACACTGAACTTACAAGGAAAGACAACAGGGTAACACTTCTCTGATTTGGGGCACTGAATGATTGGCTGGAATCCCAAAACATAAGACACAGAAGCAAACCTTGGCCAGTGGAGTATATCACAATGAAATACTTGTGTATAGCAGAGAACATAATCAATACAATTAAGAAATGACAGCCTGTAGACTTGGAGAAAATGATTGTCAGTTTTTCATTGTCAGGGGTTTATATATGCAATGTAAGGAGTTTCCTATGTCAAGAATAAATACAGAATTCAAAATACTTTTAAAAAGGAAAACAAGCCACCCAACACTGTGTAAAATTATCAGACACTTTACAAAAGAATAAACATACATGCCTGTGGAGGAAAAAAAAAGATAGTATCATTAGCTATCATTTCACTGCCAATCATAGCTCCAATGAGATACCTTATCATCCAGTTAGAATTGTGTTAAAGAAAGGAACACTTAAAACTTACAAATGCTTGTGAGTATGTAGTGGAAAATAAACTCAAAAGCTGTTAAGGGGAACATGAGTTTATGCAGTTACTATGGAGAACAATATTGACATTTCATGAAAATCTAAAAATAGATCTTTCATATTCTGTCCCTGTATCCCTCTTTTGGTATGTACCCAGAGGAAATGAAATCAACCTATTCAACCTGCATATACACTTTTATTGCACATTACTATGTCATAGTATCTAAGATGGGAAAACTGTCTAGATGCTCGCCAATAGATGAACTTATAATGACAATGTGGTATATTTATACAAGAAATATTTTTCAGACATTATAGATAATTTCTATTGTTTTAGTTAGAAAAAGGCATTAAAGGTCATTAAGTGAAATGAGGCAAACACAGGAATACAAGTCCTTTGTTTTCTTTCTCACAGAGTGGAAAGAAAAACTAAAATTCCTCTTGAATGCCTGACAGTGATTGATACAAGCTAGATGATGTAAATTAAGGGAAGAGGAGCTTATGTGAGGTATACTAGATTTAATAAGTACAAGGTATATACAGATGTGGTGATTTGAACAAGAATGGCCTCTGTACTGGCCGGTTTTGTGTGTCAACTTGACACAAGCTAGAGTCATCAGAGAAGAAGGAGCCTCAGTCGAGGAAACTGTTATGGTGTCTTTTCAAAGCAACAGAGCACTGACTGAAACAATGGGTACGGAAATGTCATGCTGGCACAAAGTTTTATGGATATCAATATATGTCAGCAAAAATTCAATAATAAAGAACAACATGCATAATTATATTTGCCAATGTTTTTTGTTTTCTTTTGGTTTTTTGAGACAGGGTTTCTCTATACAGTTTGGATGCCTGCCCTGGGTTTAGTTCTGTAGACCAGGCTGGCCTCGAACTCACAGATATCCGCTTGCCTCTGCCTCCTGAGTGCTGGGATTGAAGGCAGACACCACTGCTGCCTGGAAACTATTTTTATATAAAAAAAAATCTAATAATTTTGCTTTCTTCACAAGCTGATATTTGGCAATCAAACACTAAGCAAAAGAGTACTTTTAGTTTGTGAATGTTATTAACAGAAAAATATCCATATCATGAAACTGAATCTCCTATGATCTATAAGAATGAGGTACTTACATAAACATTTTGGTGGCTCTGACCACTCTCCATTTCTACATGTTATTTTCTTGTTGCCCTGCAGTTGGTACAAGGACTGGCACTGATATTCAACTGATGATAATGGTGCGTATACTGGCAATGGGAAGGAGGTGATGTCTCCATTGTCAATAGGTGGAGGAGGCCCACATTTCCCTGTTGAATCTAAGAACACAACATTTGAATGTTTGAGAAATCAAATCAAAGTACAGGCTTAAACAGAACCAATGAAAGTACAGTGCTAAAGAAGACTTTAGTGATTTCTGGCTACAGAAATGATTACTAGAATAAATTTCAATCATTTAAACTGAAAGTTACAAGTCCTTCCTTCCTTCTCACCTAAAGCACTTAATGAAATGGAACAAGCATGTCTGCTCTGAAGCCTTCCACTGCTCATAAATGGACTAATAGCTTCTGAGCACACAGACTCCAATGTAGACAGGCAGAATTTCTTTGTTTTCAAGACACCAGAGTATTTTTTTGCTCTATATATACCTTATCTTCATCATCATTTTTTAGCAACACATATTTATGGACAAGAATGTAAAACTTTTAAAGTTACAGAAGGCAAAAGAGGCTTCCTGGATCCCTGATGTGGGTGAAGTAAGTATAGCATCTATATGTCATTCTTGCTGGGTACAATGAGAGTTCTTGGACATAACATTTTTAGTAAACAATATAGGAAAGGGAAGACATTGAGAATTCTAGTTAAGATATTCAGGACTCAACTAGCTACATAATGCTTTGTGATATTTATTTCTCTTCCAGACTGCTGATTGTCCTGGTGAAGCCACAGGAAAAGACTGAAATCAAGCACTACTGATGGTATGCTGTGTTGAGTAAGGTGTCACCAGGAGCATCATGAAACTGAACTGAACTCCAACATTGTTTAGAAGAAAAAAAAAGTGTCCAAGATTCAAAGAAAATATTTTAGCATGAAGGAAAATGAAAAAGGTTGGGCATAAGGCATGCATGTGCATATTTAAGAGCTGATTAAACTCAAAAAAGACAAGTCCCTTGAAGTTCATGCAGATGTATGTATTGAAACTGCTTAATGAAAACATTTCGAAAAACAACATCATTATGGAATCACCAGTCACCCAGGTTCAAGATCCAAAATAAAGTAACTTCCCATCTACCACCATGGAGGCCATAGGAAGTAAAAGGAAATAAATGTCTACCTTGAGTTCTATGTCGTGTGGTGCTAGCCTTTCCAATAAAGATGGTAATGAAGACATTATCAGATAAAAGAAGATAAAGAGGATTATCACCAACAGAGTTTCTTATACAGAATAAAAATAACAATTAGACTTTAGGAGAAAAGTAACTGGTAAAATGAGGGTATATACTAGATGATCTTTCTGCTCATAAAGTTATGTTTATTTTTGAGATGAAACCTAGCACTGGAGAATGGTGCTCAATATATGTAACAGGAAATGCTAAGGGAATCTTTAAGTAAAACATGGAAAATGGGAAGTACAAATAGATTTCAAAGGTAAGTATAGTTTCTACTTTTTCTTTGAAATATAAAGTGTCAGAATTAGTAAGGATGGCAATCACAGATTTAGGATGACTTCAGAGATAGGTGGTTAGGAAATGATTAGAGATAGCATACTCAAATTGTGTACTCAAAACCAACAAAAGATGTATGCCAAAATAAAATTCCTGAGAACTATTCCTCCAAAGCAAGGGAAATAGGAGAAATATGGCTTATAATCACAGAACTCAAACACAAATTAACAATAGAAGAAATATGTCAAACTTACTAGGAATTGTTTTACATGCAAGTGATCTGCATACAGAGATTTTAGTGGTGGACTAGGCAGTTGAAGTTTCTTTATAGATATGATGTAAATTTATTCATCAGCAATATATAGTTCATATTCAATAGTAAGTGACTTATTGAGGTAATTTGGGAAATTTCTGTTCTTGTAAAACTAAGGCTCCACATGTACTCATAGAAAATACCTGTATTTTGAGGGTTTTTTTGTGTGTGTTTGTTTGTTTGGTTTATAGTGTTTTTTTGAGTCAAGGTTTCTCTGTGCAGCTCTGGAGCCCTTCCTGGAACTCACTTTCTAAACCAGGCTGCCCTCAAACTCACAGAGATCCATTGCCTCTGCCTCTCAAGTATGGGGATTAAAGGCATATTTTGAATTCAACATGTAAGAATATCCCTGGTGCATGAACCGGCTTTCTGAACCCATTACTTATGGTTGAACGTCTTGCTCACTCTTGATGCAGGGGGGAGGGGCTTGGTCCTGCCTCCGCTGAATGTACCAGGTTTTGCTAACTCCCTTTTGGAGAAATGGAAGTGGGGGGTGGGTTGGGGGAGGGAGTTGGGAGGAGGGATGAAGGATGAGAGGGGGAATCTGTGGTTGGTGTGTAAAATGAATAAAAAATTATTTTTTAAAAAGGAAAATCTCATTACCCCTTATCATATGTGGCAGGCACGAGATCTGGTCCCTGGGTCATTAGAGTGGGAGAGCTGGCCTTGCCCCTGACCTGCTGTGGAGTGGTTCCTGCACCTGGTCTGGTTAGCACAGTAGAGCTGACTTTGTTGGTGAGGGCTTGTCTGAGCTGGCCCTTAGGACATGAGAGTAGGATAGCTGGCCCTCCTTCTGGCATGTGGTAGCATGGGCTCTCAGAGACTGAAGCAGCAAACACAGGCCTGCATGGGTCTGCAGCAGGTGCTCTGCATATATGTTATGGCTTTTAGCTTAGTGTTTTTCTGGGACTCCAACAGTGGAGATGGGTGTATCTCCAACTCCTTTGCCTGCTCTTAGGACTCTTTTCCACCTATTGAGCTACATTGTACTGCCTCAATATGAGGAGGTTTGCCTTGTTTTATTGTATCTTGTTTTGTCCTGTTTGGTTATTGTCTCTTGAAGGCCTGTTCCTTTCTGAAGGGAAATGCTGAGGGAGTGGATCTGGAGGAAAATGGATATGTGTGTGTGGGGGGCGGGGTGTGAGTTGGGAGGAGTGGAGGGAGGGGAAATTGCAGTAGAGATGTATTGTATGAGAGAAGAATCTATTCTCAATTTTAAAAGAAAAAAGAAAATTAGAGAAATGCTTCTCATAAGAATTACTTCACTTTATCTTTACTAATGTACGGTAACCAAATTACATTATCAAATAAACATTGGGAAATATGATGGCCTACCTTTGCATTTGGGTGGCTCTGTCCAAACCCCATTTTGACACATCACTTCTACTTCCCCAAATAGTTCAAAAGGTTTATTACATTCATATCGTACTCTCTCATTGGGTGGATATTTATCCATGGGCCTTGTTACTATAGTAGCATTTTTCACAAGTGGTGGATCTACACAGGAATTATCTAAGGAGCAAAAGAAAGTATCATTACCTATTTGTTCATCTTAAGTATGCAATCAACACATAAGATTCTAAATGTATTTCTCAACAGATGAATAGATAAAGAAAATGTGGTATATTTACACACACACACACACACACACACACACACACACACACGCTTTCTCACATACACACACAAATAAACTCATGAAATTCACAGGCAAATGGATGGAACAAGAAAAAAAATCATTTTGAGTGAGGGAATCCAGACATAGAAAGACATATATGATGTACATTTGCTTATATGGATACTAGCTGTTAAGTCAGTGATAGTCAGTCTATAATCCATAGACCAACAGGGGTTAGGTGTAGAGCAAAAGACCTCCATACCATGGGTAAAAGGTATAGATAGTTATGGAAGAAGGAAGGAGAGGCAAGGAACAGAATACATGGAAGTACAACTAAAATTAAGCAACATTTCAGGGATATTATAGAAACATAATACAGTAGAAACTTCCTAAAACACATACATATATGAAGACAACGTAAATGAAATAACCAAAAATGTGGGGAGACAGAGCCCCAGTGGACAATTCTTGTTATCAAATGAAGCTTCTAGTACCAGGATTGGGTTACATCTAATTGAATTAGTGGCCAAAGATGTCACATGAGAACTTCCAAAACACCCAGGCTTTTGGCCAGACTATAGGTTGTTTTACACAAACTGGAGACAAGGACACATTGTGAAAGACAATACCTTCACCACTCACTGAACACAGCAAAGCCGAGCTGGTGCCTACATATAGGCTAGCATCTTTGGTAAAGGAAGGTATATTGCATGCTACCAAAGTAGAAACATAAACACCAACCTATCCACACACCCTTGATTTACAATGGAATCATGTCTGCAACTTATGATAGGAAAATGAAGACACCTAGCTTGTTGGATTGACCAAAAAATATGGAATATAAATTAAGAGCTTCTCCATGAGATGTAACCCATATCTGACACTGCTTGGGTGACCAAGAACCTGAGACTAGATAGCCCAGACACCTAATACTACTGTGAAACCAAATAGGACTCTTGGGAAAAAAACAAAACAAACAAACAAAAACCCAAAAAATAAAACCCACAGAGATAAAAGGACTCCACATGATATTCTTCTATACTCTTAGATCAGTGCCTTGCTCGGCTATCATCAGAGAAGCTTTTTCCTGCTGCAGATAGGAACAAATACAGAGACCCAGATAAAGACATTATGTAGAATCCTTGGAACATTGCAAGATTTGTCGTAGAATGTCTCAATCAAATCCCTCCCTATATGGTTCAAGGAACCATACAGAAGAGGAGGTGGAAAGAGTGTAAGAACCAGAAGAGATACAGAGGACACCATGAAAGCAAGGCCTTCTAAACAAACAAGATTGATGTACATATGAACTCACAGAGACTGAGTCAGTGTGCAAGAGCCTGGATGGGCCTGCACCAGATGGGGTTCTAGAGCTAAAAGGAGCAGGTGCCATAGGCCTACATCCCTAACCTAGAAGCAATTTCCAATTGATGACCACTTGCAGTCAAAAATTTAGAGTTCTGCAAGGAAGTATCACATGAGAAACAAGCTACTCAAGGGCAGGCTGCATAAAATAGACATCTTTGGAGGTTCTTTGTCTCATAATGTCCTGTTAGGGCTTTTCTTTTTTTAAATTCCATTTCATTTTTCTGTTTTGTTTTTGGTTTTACTTTATTTTATTTATTTGTTCCTTCTCTTTTTTAACTTTTAACCCTACAGATCATATATATATATATATATATATATATATATATATATATATATATATATATAATGGTTTCCAGTTTAATGTATTTTTGGAATTCCTGAGTGTGGGAATGAGTGGGACTTTCAGTCTCTATCATTCTCTTGTCTTTTCTTAAAGGGACTGTGTGCAGATGGGACAAGAGGTGGTGAGGAACTTAGAGGAGTAGAGGAAAAGAAAAACATAATCAGGATATATCATGTGGGAAAAAAATCCATTTTCAACATGATGGGGGAAAGATTGTTTCAAGACTATCAAATTATAGGAAAACTATGATCAAATAAAAAATATCCTTTTATCCTAACAACTAGAGAAAATGATATATGTAGAAAATATCAATTGAAAGGTGATTCTTTAGCAATGCATTCACAAATGTTTACAGTCTACAAACCGAGTTTGCCCAGAATTCATGAAGGACATTATAGTGGACTCAAGGTCCTTTAGGTATTTTTCTATTTAAGATCTCTAGGATGAGTTTCTCAGTGCTAAATTACATTCATAAACCAGGTCCAAAAATACTGATGATGCTAGTCATTGACCACACTCTAGAGACAATCACTCTATTAGCTTAGTCATTGGGTTTTCAATTTCCTGATTTTATTTTTAAACATAAACCAACTTCATCTTGCTTTAAAAGCTAACTTTCGCCCACTTTCAAATTATTTAGACCTTTTCATCAATATTCTAAGAATATAATAAATACATGTTGAAAGTTCACCAAACTACCTTTGCATACCAGCTCTCCAATCCACTTTTGATTAACACATGTCACAATGTTGGACCCATCCAAATGATAAGAAGGTGCACATTTGAATGTCACTTGTTCACCTGACCTGTATGAAATTTTTTCCTTTTCTATGAGTACGACATTTTCAAACCTGGGAATACTGTCACAATTAGTTCCTAAAAGAAAAAGAATATAAAGGATTTTGTTTTCAGGAAACTGTAGAATATCCAATATATGAAACAATAGTAAGGTTCATTGAGAACAGTAAATACTGTAGTTGCCCATTTTGACTTAGATATATAGAATTGTTTCATATTTATGAAAATAAATGAGGTGGGAATGACCACGGATAAAGAATACTGATAGTTATAATTCTTGAGATATTTTCATTGTGTATTCAATTTTTCCTCACTTACTTTCCACTCTTACGATATATTTCTATTTTTTAGATTCATCAAATGGAAAATAATTATAATTATTATTTCAAATTTTTAGAGCATATGTAGTTGTAGTGGCATTGCTGTTAAAACCATCACTGTAGTGATGAGTTTCTTGAATAGAGCCAATGTTTTCTGAAGTCTGAGGATGCTGATAGCTCAGGGTACATGAAGCAAAAATGAAGTGATTGGGTTCAAAGTATCAAACTACATTTTGCCAGTACTGTGTTTGTCTGTTAGCATCCAGTGAAATCTTATGATATGCTAGAATTACAGTGTACTTTTTTATTATTTGTGCCACATATAGCTTGAATTAGATGATCTAAAACACAAAGAAAGAAAACAAAGCTATACTTCTGCAAGCTGGTGGCTGGGACCACTTTCCTCCTTCACATTTGATCAGTGCTGGTCCATCAATTCCAAAGCCTTCAGCACAACTGTATGTCACCTCTTCTCCATGTTGGTAACTGTCTAGCTCATGAGACACAATACCATGATGGATTGAAGGTGGAGGTCCACAGGGAAGTCCTGAAAATAACACAATGAGAGGAACAGAGTGAGATGATTCCACATTGCACTAATTCAGAAACTCACTCGCATATGTCAATTCTGTGTGTAGTTGTACTAGAAGGAAATGTTAACAAGGAAGATGTTCCACCACAGAAGAGGTGGACAGTGCTTCCTAAGACCACATTCTGTTATCTTGCATCTGCTAAACTGCTTACACATCAAAAAAGAACTTGACACCAAAATATCTAAAAAATCAGGAGTGGCAAATGAAATAAAAAAGCAAGAAATAATATTCTCAGGAAACCTCCCTTATATTGCAGGTGCAGCACATTGTGGGGAAAAGACACTGAGTAGTTTAACACCTGGTGACAAATGAAAACAATGCAACTCGCATGAGCAGGTGAGGTCAGTAGAGTATGCATCATATTTAAAAAGAGAAATTCAAGTGTAAAATGTATTTCAAGACAATCAATACAATTAACAAGAGCAGGATCAATTGAATTATGCAAATGGAAATTTATGGTTAATAGATTAACAATTGTATGTGCCAATCTAAATCATTCTTTCTCCCGGTTTTCATGAGAGTATATTATTGGTAAAGACTTATTCTAAAACCAGAATTAAATTTCCATGCTGTTCTCACCGAGACAACGAGGTGGAGCACTCCACTTTCCCATGTCGCAGGTTACCCCTTGTTCCTCAGCCATCCTAAAACCATCCTCACAAACATAGCTGAGTGTAGTGCCGTGTTCATGAATTCTGGACTCCACTCTGTCTCTCCTTTCTTCTGATGATCTGGGTAATTTAATAGATCCATGGTCTATTGCAGGGGGCTGGGAACATGGAATTTTCTCTATATGAAGAACACATATGAAAGAGTGGAACCTAGATAAAACTTTACATTGGAAAATAAAAACAAACTCTTGGGATTATGTCTCCACAATATTATGTCATGCCCTCATTTTTTCAATATCCTCCCCTACACCAGAATTCTCATTGTCAAATAAGTCAGAGCTACTGACCAATGCAGCGTGGTAATGACTGCCACCTCCCATCTCTGCACACCATTTCTTCTGTGTCCTGTGTTCGGTAATTGTCTTGACAAAGAACAGATACTTTCTCTCCATCCCAGTATTTCACTGTGGTTTGCATCACTTGGGCATTTGGAATCTGTGGTGGAGGAGGGCAGGATTCTTCCTCTGCTCCCAAAAAATATCAGAAACCAAAGTTCTTGACCAAAGATAGTATCTTCAATTGTTGAAGTAATAATTTTCTTTAAATATTAAATTATTTATGATAGTGTAATAATCATATATTTTATATTTTTGAAAAGTTTTGTCTAAATCACTATAAAATGAAGACACCTCACATTCATTTTTCTATTCATGATGTAAAAGTGTGCTTTATTACTGGTTGTTAACAATAATTTTTTTCTATTTCTGCTTAAGTAGAGTAGAACTACTATAATGAAATTAACAGTTAAGTCATTAATACATTTTCCCACAGTCTTTGAACACCTAGCTAGTCATACAGGAAAGAAAAACAACTACTACTTTACTTCAGACAATAATCAAAATGATATCAGACATGATAAAACCAGAGGCAACCACAAAACAACATGTGCACCTCATGAAAAGGTACATAATAAGTTGATTTTTGAATCACATGGAAATACCTTCTGTGAAAGTTTTTAAGAAATATCAAGTGAGGCATGGCATTCAAAGTGGTAGTGATAAGTACATATATAGAAGCAAATGTAGTTGAATGAACTTGTTGCTATTTAAACAGAATTGGAAATGTCAAGCGAGTCAGTTTTATACAGTAACAGATTGATTACTACAAGAACGAATATTCTATTAGATTAACACTATATACATTCATACAGAAATGCATGATGACTAAGCAAAGGCATAGGAATTGCATGGAGCATTTGTTGCAATAAGAGTTAGAAGCAATGGGAATCTAAGAGTAGGGGACTATGAGGACACAGAGGTAAGTTCATTTTCATAGAGTTTGCTAGAGTGTTTTACATTACAGGTCAATAAAATATGTAATACATGAATTTCTAAATCATCTTCTCTATTAAAAAGTATTTTTCCATTATGTCTGTTATGAGACAGTGTCTTCATATATGACAGGGTATTTAATCATATGAAGTCTCAAAGGCATGGTCACCTAAACAAGACCTGCATGATGACAATACCAGTTGACATGTCAACATGGGTGAAGAAAACCTTACAAGGCCCTTCTCCTATGTGAAGAGCTACAGGTAATTAAAGACCGTCTAGAGAGTGATAATCCGTTTTCTCCACAGATGAGTGAGCCAAAATATCTGTTACCCAATCCTAAGCATTTATTCCTAAACACATACATGTAGAAGAAACACTAAATGGATTCATCAGGCTCAATTATGTAAGCCAATTTGAGTGGGAAGACGGAGAGTTGGAAGTGATAACAATACAGGATTCACGTATGAAATACTCAAAACTTCCATTGTTTTAATAACTCAAAGACACTACTATCACAGATGAGAAAGGACTAGAATAACCACTAGAAGACAATGCAAACAAGAACTTACCTCTACAGGTTGGCTCAGGATCCCACCTTCCATTGATGCAGGTTGAGTGTTTATACTCCTTCTTTCCTCTACATTTGTAACTAATGCTAAAGTTATGACTAAATTCTTTCTTATTGGGTTGAATTCTGTCCACATCAGTTAACTGTGGTGCTTTACACTTCTCCAGTTGATCTGTTGCTATGTGAAAATATTTCCATGAAAAATAAAACAATTTACAAGAAGTGAGCTAGTTGCTACATTAAAAACAGCTATGTAGTCATTATACAACACCTAAAATTCTGCCAATCAAAATGCTCAGGGTTGCCATGCAGAAGTGGTTTATGAAAAGAGAGCTACATCTCATGTTCATCCAGTCTTTTATGTCTCAGAGAGTTTGTGTTGTGAAGGGATTTGGGTACTCGGTAACTGCAAGTACATAAGAAATCACTATCTCAGATGCTCTACTTAGGAAATGATTATGACATGTCCGGCTTTGGTCCCATACTTGAAAGCTGTGAGAATGTTCATATTTTTCCCCCATTATATTATCTTTATCCAAACGTTTAAAAATATTAAAATAGAAATATGTGTGGATATAACGTAAAATGTTTCTAGTTTAAATGTCCTTTTTAGATAGATGTGATATAAGAAAAAATATCTAGTTCAGTCCCTTGCAGGTTTCTCAGCTGCCTGTCTAAAGTTAGTGTGTTCCTACGAGCTTGGTTCAGTTGTCTCTGTAGATTTCCCCCATCATGATCTTGACTCCCCTTGCTCATATACCCTCTTCCCTCTCTTTGACTGGACTCCTTGAGCTCGGCCTGGTGCTGGACTGTGGATCTCTGCGTCTGCTTCCATCAGTTACTGAATGAAGGCTCTATGATGACAGTTAGGTTATTCACCAATCTGATTACCAGGGATACTAGTTCAGGCACTCTCACCACTGTTGCAAGTAGTCTAATCTTGGGTCATCCTTGTGACAAGATTCCTGGGAATTTCCCTAGCACCATGTTTCTCCCTAGCCCCATCTAGGCCCTCTGCATATGGGAGACAGTTGTGTAGCTTGGGCTACTTAAGGGGCTCCTGGAATGGGGTCAGAATCTATCCCTGGTACATGAGCTGGCTTTCTGGAGCCCATTACATATGGTGGGAAGCCTTGCTCAGTTTTGATGCAGGGTGGAAGGGTTTGGACCTGCCTCAACTTAATGTACCAAGTTTTGCTGATTCTCCATAGGAGCCCTTATCCTTTTGGAGGAGGGATGGAGGGTGGGTTGGAAGGGGAAAGCTAAATGGGAGGGGTATCTGTGGTTGATATGTAGAATGAGCAGAAAATTTTCTTAAATAAATAAAAAAGAAAAAATGGTCCTAGGGTCCTACCTCCAGCACACTGACTTCAGCTTGCAGCATGTGGAATAGACAGAAGGAAAGTTTGTTGTAGTGGAGTAGGAAATGGGTACTTGGCAGACTTTATTTCTTAGCTTTCCAAGACATGGAAGGAGAGTGCCATATAATAACAGCAATGATGTTTTGCATAACATAATCATATCATCTTGGGTATTAGATTGACATTTTAGTCACATAAAAATTTGCAACTAAAAATTAGATCGGACTGAAGATAGACAACAAACATTTACAGATTATATTGTTAATTTATGCTCATCTGTAGACATGCATCAATCTATAAACAATTAAAGTTTAAATTGCCATTTTTTTTTTTTTTTTTTTTTTTGGTTTTTTCGAGACAGGGTTTCTCTGTGTAGCTTTGCGCCTTTCCTGGAACTCGCTTTGGAGACCAGGCTGGCCTCGAACTCACAGAGATCCGCCTGGCTCTGCCTCCCGAGTGCTGGGATTAAAGGCGTGCGCCACCACCGCCCGGCTTAAATTGCCATTATTTAAGACTAGTTGTTTCCAAAAAGAGTACTAACTTCAGAAGTATATAGTAGCAAATATCTCTGCAATAAAAATATTAAACTTTTTGAAGTATCAATTTGAGGCACACAGACTTACCAACACATTGTGGAAGCTGGGCCCACCTTCCACTAATGCATGAAACTGACCCACTTCCAATCATTGTGAATATTTCCAAGCAGGTGAACTCCACTGAATCTCCGTGGTGGTAGGGGGGGTTAGAAAACTGTACAGAGCCATGCTTAAGTTCAGGAATGCCTCCACATGTTCTTTCCTCCTCTGTAGTTGTTTCACAAACATATATTTAAGATTAAGAGGTCACATGAGATACAAACAGTGTTTAAATATTTACGCTTTAATTACCAATACATATTGGCAATGTTGTCCACTTCCCATCAACACACTGGATTTTACTGGGTCCCTTCAGGATAAATCTAGGCTTGCAATCATATTCTACCACTTCACCATGACCATATTCTTCTTTCTTTGTTCCCTTAATTTCTCCATTGAGGACTTCAGGAGGCTGATCACATGATCCTACTTGACCTATTGTGGAAATATTGTGTAAATATAAATGAAAATGTTCATCTTACAGTCTAACAATCTAGTATATGGAGAAATTTAAAACAAATATTAACCATGTCACTTTTTATAACACTATATTAAATAATGGAATTTACACTAGATTCACATTTCACAATTGTAATATGCCTGCTGAAACAGCATTGAAAACATTTTGAAGGTGGAACGGTGTTTGATAAACTTGATATCTTGAAGATGCATGCAAACCAGTGAGCAACTGTAGTTGTATCAATTATAATGATGTTCACATTTTCTGGAATTATCACTTTGCAGAAAATATCATCACTGTAGCAAGCATCTAATCAGTCTGTTTCAATTTGTCTGATACATGGAATCGAATTAATAAAAATCTGTTTTCATACTGTTTTGACGTACTCTGTGAGAAGGGATGGAAGGCTCATCCTATAAAAATGCCAGCATTAATGTTAATCTAGACAAAATGAAATAAGTCTTTGTAGTCTCACCTTTCATGTTTGCAGGGGTAAACACAGTGCTACACATTTTACGAAGCAAGTTAGCCTAGGATTATCCTTGTACATAAGTGACTGTGTATTAGCCACACAGCACATCTTGACCATGACTGTCTCTATCTCTGAATAAGCTCAAGATTACAGACATAATGGAAGACTGAGGGATATTAGGAGAAGGAAAATAAACTTCTGATCCTCATTCATCAAAGGTAAAACAGATACTGACCTTTACATGTTGGGAAACTAGGAGACCATCCAAAGTGGTAGCATTGCACTGAATCAGGTCCAACTCTGTGTCCTGGTCGGCAAGAAAATTTCAACAAATCTCCAACTTTATATTTGTCTTTCTTGGGATTGACGATTAAGTATGGTCCTAGTAAGGGAATGCTGCATTCGCTTTCTTTAAAGTAAGATAATTAGAATATACAATTAATTATTGTTAAGTAGGTTTATCTCCCTCATGCACAGTCACAGGAAGCATCAGCCCCCTTCCTTATGAAAAATGCTGCATATTAGATTTGATATAGCACCCAAATCTATATGGAAGTCTCTGAGAAATGTAAGATAATGCAATGTATTAGTTATAAAACTGATTAATAAAATCAACTTATTTTTACTGGATCTGATTTGATGTAATGAGTTATTAATGCTGAAGTCACAACTTCCCTATTCTCACAACAAAAAATTGTTCTCTCATATTTGAAATTAATACTATACAATATCTAAATCACATATCAAAAATTTTCAGTTTAATATAATTGAGGAAGTATATCACAAAAAATCAGTTTTAATGTAACTGAAGTTAGGAAAATATAATTAGTATATTTTGAATTGAAGAAAATAAAAAACATGCAAAACAATTACATTACTCTAAACTAATTTGTTGTACTTCCAATTTAATAACCAATTGTTAATTATTCTGCCTCAAATTAGGAATGTATAATATTCTCCATTAAAATAAAAATTTTCTTCAATACCTGGAGTTCTTGTTACAAAAAACCAACTAAGTAAACATTTTCTTCCTTAATATTTCCCCTTTTTTGGTAATTTATCAATTAAAAATCACAGGGTTAATATTAGGGTGATACAAAAAAGATAATTCATACTTTCAAAAGTAAAGTGTTAATACATACTCAGCAACAGATTTGAAAGACATGCTTTAAAACAAGTACTAAATAAATACTTACAGTGTGGCTGGAGATGGAACTCAGAGGAATGCCACATGCTAAGTGTGTGAGACCCTCTGGGAGCACTCCCCAAATTATTCCTTTCTTTTATTATTGAGCTTTAGACTAATTGGGAAAAATCATCCTGAACAAGACTCATCATAATTCTTCTATAATAAAATTATAATAATTTAGAGATTATCTTTTATTTGTATTTCTGTCTGTTTATGTATTTTTGCTTATTTTATAGAAATTATCATACTAACATACCATAATACTCTGTCTTAAAGTTAAAAAATATCCTGTTTTTCATTTTATATTTGTAATTCTAGGACTGACCCTTAGGCTATGGGCTAGCCAAGTATTGTCTAACTGAACTGATAGCCCTGCCTTTGCATTCTAATTTAGTATTCCATTGTATTATAGAAAGCCCTGATTTCCAATGAAAGAGATATCTTGATAAAGGGAGACATCATGGGGATAGGAAGAAACTGGGTGCTAGGGAAGTTCCCAGGAATCTACAAGCATGACCCCAGCTTAGACTACTAGAAGCAGTTGCAAGGATGCTTGAGCTGGCCTACCATTAATCAGACGGGTGAATACCCTGACTGTCATCACAGAGCCTTCATCCAGTAACTGATGGAAGCAGATGTAGACACCCACAGTCAAGTACTAGGCCGAGCTCCAGAAGCTCCAGGAGTCCAGTCAATGAGAAGGAAGAGGGATCCTATGAGCAAGGGGTATCAAGATGATGGGGAAACCTACAGAGACAACCAAAACAAGCTAGTGGGAACTCATGAAATTTAGATCAACAGCTGTGGAGCCTGCATGGGACTGACTGGACTAGGCCCTCTGCCTAGTGAGACAATTGTGTAGCATGATCTGCTCAAGGGGTCCCTGGGGGGGAGGGGCTTAGACCTGCTTCAACTGAATGTACTCCCCTTGGGAGGCCTTACCTTTTTGGAGGAGGAGATGGGGTATAAGTTGGGGATGAATGTTGTGGGGGAGTGGGAGGAGTGATAAGAGGGGGGTCTGTAATTGGTATGCAAAATAAATAAAAAAATTTGTTGATAAAGAAAAAAAGAGAGCCGTGATTTCATAATCTTGAGCTGTGTATAGTCAGAGAGAAATTAATGATCACCATTTGTTTAGTTTGATTTTTTTTTAAATTTAGGGTTCACTTGTTTGTAGTTATTTATGATAGGTCTTCCTATGTAGCCCAGTGCAGGGAAACTTGAAGTCAGTTCAAGACACCTCAAGACCCAATTCTCTGCATAAAGGAAATTCATTTGCTCCAGAGGGGGAAAGGGCAAGAAGTAAAATGACAAAGACAGGAGATAAAAGACAGGGGACAAAGAAGGAAAGGAAGGGAACGAGGGAAAAGGGGAATGGATATTTGTGCCAGAGGAGGTGGAGGGGGGGAGAACTACCTCTGTATAGAAAGAAGACAGACACATAGGAAGATGGCAGTTTATAAAGGTAAAAGGGGAAACCCTTTGTTAGTATGAGGTGTTTGATTTTAATTGGGCTTGTCAATTAAGTGAGCCAAAGGGGGCTTTTGATTGGTGGATTTCAGTACTTTGATAATGGACCTTGGTAGTCAGCCTCAGAATTAGGAAGTGGCCAAGTAAGGGAGTAGACTTTGGTGGCTAGCTTTAGGAATATAATCTAATGGTTTTTAGCGAGGCAGAGGGAATGGGGAAGATGGGCAAGGACTGGTAGAGCCATGTTTGCCATGGTTGGGCTGACTAGAGTCCCTTTACCCAGACTGGTGTGGAACTGAAGACCTTCATTCTTCTACCTCACAAGGGCTAAAATGAGAGGTGTGTACCACACTGCCAGGTGTAGACATGCTTAATGAATTCTGTTTGAGTTGACCCTTGAGCGTTTCACAGTCTCTGCTGCTATCCTTTTAATTTTTTATTTCTACTCCTCTTCCTTCACATTGTTCATGTTTGGATGACTATATTTCATACTCAAATCATAATTTTGATAATTGAGACCTAGTTTAAATAATTAAGAGCTTGCATTTATGATAATAAAACAATTATGCTTTAATCAGATATATGTGAAATATACAGGTCATAAAAAGGGAAAATTAATTTAATATATTTGTTTGCTTGTTTTTGGAAGCAGAGACTCGTTATGTATTCCAACATGTCCTTAAATGTAACCCCTCCTGTGCCTGGCTCCTAAGTGCTGGAATCAAAAGCATGTGCCACCTACACCTGAAGAATGGATTATTTTAAAATACATTATCAGGCTAATGAGATGGATCAGTCAGTGTTAGTGCTGGCCTCCAAGTCTGGAGACCTGAGTTCAATCCCTAGGATTCCCATGATGAAAGAAGGAAGCTGACTCTCACAGGCTCTCTGACATCTACATGTGCACTGTGGTGTGTGTTAGCTCTCAAACTCAGGATGAATGACTAACTCAGGTGCCTATTGAACATATCAAAGGAGATGCTGACCAGTCTTTCTAAACATCACCAACACTTGTTACAGAGGCCTTACTCTTCTCAGCACTTCTCACCATACCTCCCTACCACCAACCTCTGCAGAACCTGAGTTTCACTGCCCTGTCCCAACTGCTCTTCCATATATAATCCAGTCATTTTGGCTACAATATCTCTTTCTTTCCATGTTTCTGGGTTCCCAGGTACTCTCTTTGCTCTCTCTCTCTTCTCTTCCTATCTTGCTGTCCCACACCTCTCATTGCCTGGTTCAGTCTGGACCCTTCCAGATGCCTCTGGCTGTTTTGCTTCCGTTTATCTACAATAAACCTTCTCTTCCACCCATACCTAGGAGCAGTCATATCCTCATTGTTTGTTTGTTTTTTTTTTTCATTCAGTGTGGCACACTTTCATAGACAAACCACACACATGAATGCATATACACACACAGGATAAATAAAAGAACATGATGAAATGATAGAAAGCAATATGATCATCTTTAACCTTCAAGACATTCCTTTCTCCCAGTTTACATTAAATAGGAAGGAAGATTCTAGGAAATTAATTTTTTAAAGTAACATATAAATATTTAGTTTTATTTTATAAAATTCAAGAGAAAATAGTACTCACCATAACATGAGGGTTTATCAGACCATCCATCATAATTACATATTATGGAGCCTTTGGTATCTTTATATTTGTTTTCATATCCAACACGGCATGCATAGTCTAATTTGTCATTGAGTTTAAACCATGTGCTATTACTTTTAGTTCCAGAATTCTCAAATATAGGCCTATCACAAGACTCTAATGCAAAAAAATGGAAGATTTAATTTCTAATGTGTCAATGGACAATCTGAGTAATTCCCATGAGAACAGAGTATTCACAGGTTAATATATGATAACAGTTAAAATATCATATAAAAACGTCCTTAGAAAGCCCACAATAAATCATTTTTCTGAAACTGTTATTAACATGAATAATACACTACTGTATGGCACTTATATGCTCACTTAAACTGTTGTAAAATATTATTTAAAAATAGTTTCTCAGCTTATATTTATCATCTACTACAAATGAAGAAACAAGTGTATATGTTTTTTTTAAGGCAGTATAATAGCATTTTGTGAATTTGGCTCACATATTTAGTAGTTAAAATGACTCATAAAATATAGAAAAGTTGATTAGCTGAATTTAGTACAGGTGCATTTACTGTATTATAGCAAGGGGTTTCTCTTTCACAATAAGAAAATCCAATAAAGGCTTGTTAATTATAACTTAATATAAATGAATATCACATGGGAATAATCTTAATTGCTTTTTCTTTAACTAGATTCTGTAAAAGCACAATAGATTAAAAAAGGAGAAATTAAAAAATTAGTGACTATCTTAAATTGCCTTTTCATTTAAGATATGTTGAATAGTTCTTGAAAAATACCACTGGTTAGCTTTCTTATAAATAAAATAAGCTGAATTAATTATTATTCTTAGAAAAACTTCATATATCTAAAACAAGGAAAACTTTCAAAACAGCACAATTTGCTGCTACCTGGAAATGTTTCTTTCTTTCCAATATCAAGATATTTGGGGAAATTTCTAAGAGGGAAACCTTCTGAGATGGACCTTAACTAATAGTTAAGTTATTACATATTCTGGGATTTAAAACATGGAGATATACATTCATTAGAAACTTTACCTTATATGTAGGAGTAGAGACTTTGATATTCAAAGCAGAACAGTTTTTAAAAAGGCAGCTAATCAAGGAATCCTTCACTAGATTTAAAATTATATATTTTAAAGCATTGAAAAGTGAAATGAACTGATATTCAACAATACAGGAGTAAGTCCAAAAGGAAAAACAAATAGTGATTTGAATTTTTTTCTTGATGTTTAAAACTCATCTTTCAAATGAAATAACTTCAGTCACATAAAAGGAGTATAAAACTAAACTCTTATACACCAATATAATGGCAGGAATATAATGAAGTACTCACTGATACATGAAGGTTGAGCTGACCATCCATTTTGGAGGCAGGTAATTGGTCCTGATGTTTCTCCACTTGCCATTACATATCCCTGTTTGCACCTAAACTGTGTTTTTTTATTTAGAGCATATGTAAGATCAGATTCAGAAAGAAATCCATTCTCAATTTCTATATCTGACTTTGAACATGTCTCTAAAAGGGAAAAGAGTAAGAAAAACATGAGTACATACACAGTGGCTTAAGGATTAACAATAAAAAGATATTAAAAATAGCCATTAGTCATTTATATGTGAAGACCTGGAATAATCAAAATCATTCACATTACTGGGCCAAGGAAAATAAATCATAGTTTTAAAGATATACCATAATCCTCTGTAAAATATTTTTCTAACAAAACAAGATTTAAATCATTCATAAATATTACTTTTTGTCCAAGTAAGTCCATAATCCTTCAAAATGTCAGCACTCTTGAAATTTTTTTTCCTTGTACTTTCTTTAAACCTGAGAGTAAATTGGCTCTCTTAGATGTATAGCTCATTTACCCAACTAGAGTTCTTGTGTTTTGGTGATGAACTTGGAAAATACATAGATGTTACTGACACCAGTACCAAGAATTTGAAATTTCCTCATACCTTCATGCCTAAAAAAAATGGATGTTCAAAGTTTAAAGATGTTCAGAACAAGCAATAAGTTTATTCAGTTTTTTCATGCCATGATGATGATCCTCAACTCTTGTGCAACTTAACTTGAAAGCGTAAAAGTAAACTTTTTAATTTCATTTTTATAAGCTAAAAAACATATCATTATGAAATGTACCAGATAAAGACATATTGCATGAAAAAATCAATTTAAAAAGAAAGTATAAAAGTGTACTTCTTCCAGGTATCAGATTTCTTCCCATAAAACATATTTGCTTGTTTATGGATAAGTAGGAAATCAAAGAAGAAAACATTAAATACCTTATGTAAATGTCATTGAAAACATAAGATAAAACATTGGGAGGTAGTATGTAATGAAGAGACAGGAACATCATCAAAGAGCTTGAAAAGAATAAATAATATGTCAATAAATTTTTTCACTGTGTGTACTTAGTAATTAGCAAGACAAACACAAATTTTGGAAACTTAGATGAAGGGAGATCAAGCAGAAATCAGACAAGGCAAAAGTAAAGAAGTTGTATGAGCTTGTAAAGGAAGGCAATAAAAATGTAAATAAAAGAAAAAAAGTGTCAGTGTAGAGCTCCCGACTTGGCTCCAGAGTGCAGCACCTAGCCCTAATCCTTCCTTTGTTTAATCACACCTTTTGTTTCTCTAACCTTTTGTCTCTCTTATCACCCTATGTGAACCTTATTTGAGAGTCAAGGATCAGAGAGTCCCCCAAGGATCAAAGGCCTATGCAAAACTTGGTCCAGGAAACCAGGAAAACCGAGGTACCGATATTTCAAGTAATTTGCACCTGGCATTTGGTCTCTGGGAGCTCCTTTTGGGTTGCTTTGAAGGTATGGAAATTAACCATCTAAACTGTAAAAAAGAGTAAACAAATATGCCTTAGGTGGAGGGAAAAGGGCTTTAGTACTTTGAGGCTTGACCCCCCTGCAGCCATGAAAGGATAGTTTCATTCTTAAGATGCCTCTGTGTCTTCATTCCAGGGACCATGTGAACCCACACACTTCTGTAGCGACCACACAGCTACTTGTCAGACAGAAAAAAATGAGGAAACAGAGGTTTGTAGTTGAAAATTACCAATGCCAGGTATTGGAAGATGAAGAGCACTGGCCTAGAATTCCAGGGTATCAAAAGATAATGAGGTTCATTATCAAGGTGGCTTTATGTATGGAGCGGTTCTGCAGAAAATAACATAGAGTGAAAGAACCCAACATCACCCTTCCCCTTTCCCAAAGAGGTTTGTTTTGCTGAAACCTGTAGTATAGAAAAGCAAAGAAGAGAGAAAACCTAGAGCAGAACTCTGCAGATCTGCACAGCTATTTCCACCTTCTTTACCAGATGTCAGCATAGTGTAGCCCGGTGTAAGATGACGTGATCCAGAACAGGAGATGAATCACTACCCCAAATAGTAAGGTCAAAGATTCCCCACCCACCAACAATGTAAACTATTCAAAATGGAAGAGTGGAAGAGAAAGACCCCAGGAGAGGTTTGTCAATATTCTGAATACTCGAGTTGGAGAGGAAAAGTTATCCAAACCAATCTAATAAAATTTCAAAGGGAACAAAACGATCAGACAAACCTAGTCTTCTAATCCTGCAGGTCTCCTATCCCAAGTACTAGCTGCAAGAGTTCCATCAGAGCATTGCTGCATTATTCAAAAGATTGTGGTGCATGTCAAAGAAAATACATTGTGGCAACTGACTGTAGGTCTACCAATCCCAGTTAAGTCTTTACAAGACAGTCCCTACACCGAAGGCTCACAGATCTTCGTGGAAGTAGGTACAAAATGATTGTGAGAGTCAGATCACCAGAATGTTTGCTATGAGATAATGTTTTCTATAGATGACAGGGAAACAGCATCCATGAAATCTCAGAAATAACATTGTCTAAGTGAGCTCAGCACAATACCAGTTAACATGCCAGGGTATATGGAGAAAATCTCAGTCACTACCCCAGGTGAAGAGTGATAGGCAAACAATACTTGCTGGAAGAGGAAAATCAGTCTTCTCTAGGAATAAGCATCTCTCTGATAAACTAACCAATCCCGGGTGATCAGGTCTCAACACATGTACATTCAAGCCGCACTGAAGGACTCAGTAGGATGTGCAAGCATGTTTGAGTGTGTGTGTGTGTGTGTGTGTGTGTGTGTGTGTGTGTGTGTGTGATCCTGTGTGTTGAACAATTATAGTTAAATGTCAAAAATCTGAGAAGGGGGAAAGGAAAAGAGTATGTGGGTGGAGAATGATGATAAAATGTACTCATGAATGAGAGATGCATTTTCAAAAATATCTACAAGTAATCAAAATGCAGAGAATAAGAGACTGAAATGTTCCATACTATATGGATATATTTATCACATTATCTCCTGCCAAGGTTCAAGGAACACTGAAGAAGAATGGGGAGAAGGAGTAGAAGAGCAAAAATATGTAGGTGAATATTAGGAAGCAGTATTTTCCAGACACAGCAATGAAGATGCACATAGGGATTAAGAATGGTAGTGAGAGCATGCACAAGACCTACATAAGTTCAAGACAGACCAATCCAGCACAAGGAGGGAAGATGGCACAGATTCCCACCCTAGCTGAAGAGTTATTGACAATCAATAGCTATTGGTAAAGCTATTGGAGATTATTATTTCTTTAAGAGCATACCACTGGTGGATCAGCCACTCTCCATTGCAATACCACACATCCACACATATAGATACATCAGAAATTGAATTTTATTAGTTAGTTTAAGAAGGAAAAACAAGAAAAGAAAAAAGACACAAAGTTGGGTGGGTAGTAGAAAGGACATATATCTGAGAGTATTTCATGATGGGTGGATATGATTAAAACATACATAAAATTTTCAAATAAGTATACAAAAAGATAATCTCAAAAATTATTTTAAGTATCAAATATAACTAAAAATAAATCACAAATAGTATTTACTTGGACTTCAGTAAATGTTAAAATACACATACTGGAAATAACTATTAGAAACTCATGATGAGTCAGGTTATACAAGAAAATATTCACAAATTTGATAAAAGAATTGATCATGGAAAAGTAAATGATTATAAAATAAATTATACAATAAAACACACCATTGAAAGGAGATTGTTAGGTGAATGATATTGTTAGTCCACTAGATATAAATATGATGATACAATCCTCTACTGATGTGTTTAGATTCTAACACTAGACTCTCATGATTTTTAGAGGGAAACAAGTCAACTGGAAGTCTTGTTCATTACTGTTGTGGATGCAAAATATTCCAAATATCCTGAAAATCCAAATGGAAGATTCTTACATCCAAGCACATGCCATAGTTCTCATTAATTTCAGTTCTAGATATTTATCTAAGAAGTACTTTATAAATTTAAATACAATGACATATGTTCAATTTTCATAAGTAGCTCAAAAATTGTCACAACTTAAAACATTCAAAATGTTAATTAAAATGGTACAAAATGATAACTTAATTGTTATATTTCAATGTGAAGACATCTTTATACAATAAAAATTAGTTATTAATCAACTAATAACATGGGAGAATGACAAAGATAGTCTCCTAAGAAACAATGGAATTGTTAGAAAAAATGATGCATAAACCTACTGAGATCATGTAGTAGAAACACAAAAGTGCAGTAACAAAAGAAAAGTTGTTACCTAGAGTGGCGGAGTTGATCATAGACAGAAGAGGAAGAGAACAAGAAAAATTGCTAAAGATTTTAAACTTGATGGGGTTGTAGTCATATGAGCACACTCATTTGTCAATGCCACAGACCTGAACCCTAAATATGTGTGAACTGAATTGATTCCTGAATAAAAATAATTTTTTAGAGATGAGTCCTTATAAAGTGAGCATAAAGATGTCAGTTGTTTTAAGATCTTGTTGAGTTACTTGAAGTAAGAAAGCCAAAGTAGTTTACCTGGATAGGATGTAAAAAAAAAAATGAAAATAAACAGAAACATGAAAAAAAGAATATGTTCATATAAATCAGCCCAATTAACAAAGGCCCTAGAAAGAATATGTACAAAGTGCATGTCTGCCTGCTTGCTGCTATGTCCCACCATGATGAGAATGGACTGAACTTCAGAAACTGTAAGCAAGCCACCTCAGTTGAATACTTTCATTTATAAGAGTTGCTATGGTCATGGTGTCCCTTCACAGCAATAGAAACCCTAAGACAGAAGTTGGAACCAGGGACTGGGGTATTGCTGTGATAAGCCTGACCATGTTTTTGTTTGGAGAAATTTTGACTTGGTACTTGGACAGCAGTGGGATGCTTTAATCAGTGCTTAATAGGTCATAGTAATAGGATCATGGAAGACAGTGGTCCTAAGAGTTATTTGAACTGTGGAGGGCTGGCTCAAGAGGCTTCAGATAAAAAGAATTTTAGTATGTTGCCTAGAGATTGTTCCTGTGATACTTTGTTGAAGACTGTAGCTTCCTTTTGCCCTTGCCTCAAGAGTCTGACTGAGGCTTAAGTTAAGAGTTTTTGATTAATTTTTTTAGTAGAGGAAATTTCCAAATAGCCTAGTATAGACTTTGATGTGTAGTTATTACTGGTAACTCTAATGAAGATTTATTATGAAAAGCATAGCAAATAAATATAAAAAGCACAGATTCAGAAAAGGTTTACCAGGAAGTGGTGTAGAGCTAAATCCTGTGTTTAAGGCGATAAATGGATTAAGAAATGAAATAAAGGCTGGGCGGTGGTGGCTCATACCTTTAATCCCAGCACTCGGGAGGCAGATCCAGGCAGATCTCTGTGAGTTCAAGGCCAGCCTGGTCTACAGAGCCAGATCCAGGACAGGCACCAAAACTATACTGAGAAACCCTGTCCTCCCCCACCAAAAAAAACCAAAAAAAAAAAAAATGAAATAAAGGGAGTGGTGACCTGAGGGCAAGATCCTACACAGTTAGTTTTCCAACTAGTAAAAAGGAATTGAAGAAAAGCTTGTAGCTCTGTGTGTATTTGCGTGTGTGTGTGTGTGTGTGTGTGTGTGTGTGTGTGTGTGTGTGTGTGTGTGTGTATTACACACCTTTAATTTCATCACTCAGAAGACAGAAGGTGGGAGATCACTGAGTTTGAGGCAAGCCTGGTCTACAGAGCGAGTGCAAGGACAACCAAGCATAGGCAGTGAAGGTAACCATCGAAAACAGAAACCTGGTGAAGATGTAATTGCAAAAGGGGGCCATGTTCCAGTCCCAGTAAGCAGTAGTCCTTTGCAGCTTTGGACACATGGTTCTGGAATTAAGGATAGGAGAAATGGTCTTTGGAATTTGTCTCTGCACCTAAGAAAAACTGTTGAGGTCAAGCACGTCTCAGGGGTGTCCCTGAATGAAGGCCTAGAGAGGCTATTGCATGAAGCTGTGAAGTTGAAGCCTGGATTGCCTTGAAGACCCAAAGATGTTAGAGATGCCAGAGTAGTGAGATATCTGCCAAGAAAAGCTGCTAACAGAGAGTAGAACCAGCCTAAGAGGAAGAAGTATGTTATAGTCAGCAAAGCTGAAAGGAGTTGGAGATCTGAAGACTGCTTTGTTATCTGACATGAAGATGAAGAGTTTGGAGTTTGCCCAGATGGTTTTTGGTCTTGCTTTGTTCCAGTATTTCCTCACTAAGCTCCCTTTCCTATATTTTGGAACAGTAATGTATATCCTGTGCCATTATATATTGGAAAGATGTGATCTGTTTTTTGATTTTGATTTTATAGGAGATTACAATGAAGAAATTGCATGAATCTCAGAAGAAACTTTGAACTTTAGATTTTTAAATAAATTTGAGACTGCTATAGGCTATAGGGACTTTTAAAGTACTGAATGCATTTTTGTATTAACATATGGCTACAAGACTTTTGGGGGTCAGGGGATGGAATATGGTGCTTTGAAAGAAAATTACCCCCAAAGGGAGTGACACTGTTAGGAGGTGTGGCCTTGTTGAAGTAGGTGTGGCCTTGTTTGAGGAAGTTTGTCACTGTGGAAATGGGCTTTGAGGTCTCTTTTGCTCAAGCTTCCCTCAGTGTGATACTCAGACCACTTCCTGCAAGATGCAGGACTCTCAGCTACTTCTCCAGTACATGTCTACCTGCATGCTGCCATGTGCCACCATGATGATAATTATAAGCAAGCCACCCCATTAAATATTTTCCTTTATAAGAGTTGCCATGGTCATGTTGTCCCTTCACAGCAATAGAAACCCTAAGAAAGACAATGGTCAAGCTATCTAAAAATGAAAAGAGCTAAGTTTGTTATCAGCAAAATGATATAAGAGAAGGCATTTGACAAAAATTCAAAACCAGATTAAACATTTAAAGACACACCAAATATATATATAGGAAGACTCAATATTATTATGTGATTAATTTTTTCAAAATTATTTTGAAAATTCAAGATAATGTTAGTAAAATCTAAACAAGATTGTTTAAAGGAAGTTGGCACTCAGAAGTAAACAAATAACACAATTATGATATGTATAACTCAAACAGATTGGTTTTTAGAATTCTTAATATTCCAACAAAGCAAAGTAATTACAAATGTATGAATTAGAAAAATTGGATTTGAAAAATTAAATTATTAGGCCCACATAAACATAGGATTGATATTTGGAAGCCCAAATCATAATAAAATAAATGCATATCAACATTATTATATTGCAATATCTATATACATTTATTTATGAAAATAAAGTATGACATCATGCAGTCATTTGCAAGGATATAGACAAAGGAAAGAAACATTATATTATAAATTATTATTTATATTTATAAAACATTATAAAATGTATATTAGTGGAGATTTTGGAGAAAAACATGATAACAATATAATGCACAGTGTGCTAGGATTCTCTTCCCAGTTACATATCACAGAGTATTCAGACAATATTAGTACTTTAAGATTTCATGTTACTACTTGAAAATATGAATGATATGTATAGTTATTACTGTATTTGCTTAATTTTAAACTATTGTTGTATAATTGTTTTGAGTCAAATGACAAAGTGATTTCAAAATTTTTAGTACTATGAATTAAACAACAGTTTACTAAATGTTTTGTTGTATTATGGCCTAATATCTGTTAGGTGTGTTTATCTTTCTAAATACTTACCAAGAACCCTCAGTACTCACTTATACACACTTGAAAAGAAGCATTTTGCCACAGTTAATACAGATGGGATGGGGAGTCAAGAGCATCATGTGATCTCTGAGCCAGTTACTTACTGAAAGCAATGCATTTGGGTTGAGGAGACCAGCCATTCTCTGTACATGTAACTGTGTCTTGATCATTTGGAAGACTGTAGCCAGGATAACATTGGACTTTTACAGATTGCTCCTGTACATATTTTCCTTTCTGTTGTAAAGATTCCCCATTCTCCACATACTGGAAATCACATTGCCCTAAGGACCACAAGATGATAAATTAAAACAAAAACATTAGTTAATTAAAAAACTAAATTAATAATTATCTTTACAATAGTTAAATGCATGTGTGATGTTCAGAATAAAACCAATACTCAATGTTTAAAAGATTGCCATTTTTCTTAATTTTTATAAATAAAAATACAAGCAATAAAAGTATTCTCATCGTCCCTACTTTGGATGTACATTTCATGAAGAGCTGCTCATAAAGGACAGAAACTAGTCTCTTGTGCACACAAACTGTTCTGGTCTTATTTTTGTCATGAGAAACTTTACCATAATTATGTATGTGCTCTTCTCTTCCTACTTTTTGATAGAATTAAATATGATTTAATATAGACATTGACTTACTGAGGCATGGAATTGCAGGCTCCCACCCTTGCACAGTGCACCGAATGTCATCCCAATATGTTCCTGAAGGAGTCACAAAACCTCTGTTGCAGTAATAGTAGAACTTATTTCCTATAGGTGCTGGGAAGTAGGGTCTGCGGCTCTTTTCATTATATAGACCTCCATTTTTGATTTGTGGAAAATCACAAAGTTTCACTTGCAAGAACAAAACAAAACAAAACAATTGACAGAATAACACTCAAATATAAACCATTTGATCAGTGAATTGCTTTCTATGAATTAAAAGAACTGTGTGAGTAGACAATGTCTGGGAGAAGGAGACAAATGGAATTCAGACAACTGAGGTATATGAGAACTCCTTTCCTCATGAAATCAAATTGTCCCTTACAGCTCACCAGAGAAGTGGGTCAGGGATATTTAATATCCAATATGATAATTGCTTATTTATAAGTTGAATTTGAAGAGAAGTATAATGTGATTACATCATAGTGAGCTATTGTAACTTCATATTAAAGTGCTATATTTTTCATTTTATTAAGTTTATGTGACATATTTCATTAAAAATTTTCCCTTTCATCTTATTATTTACAAATAATTAGAATGTTATTATCAAAATAGTATTAATTTTTCCATGAAGAATGATGCTACACCTGGGAACTTCATCCAATATGTTAAAAGAATTCCAACAAATACTGACAAAAGCACATAAATTTCCTATTATTTCTCATTCTTTTTTTGTTTTAAAAGAGAAAATTCAGAAAATTTAGAAAAATTCAAGAATATTCTCTAAATTTGATAAATGTTAATAAATTTAAATTCTTTTTATCCTAAGTGTTCTTCTTTGACAAATGTCAGAATTATACTTTTCATTGAACATCAATAAATTGAATTAGCTCACTGAGATTTCTTTTTAAAGGGTACCAAAATGTGGCATGTTTTATAGTGAGAATATCATTATTGCTGTAGTCCTGAGACTCTTAGCTATTCTTCATTCTCATGTGGACACAGATTAATCTCTGTTTTTTTTTTTGTTTTTTTTTTGTTTTTTTTTTTTTTTGGTGATTCCTTGAAACAAGCCCAGTATTCCATGAAGTGAATAAACGGCAAAAGTGGTTCGTTCTTAAAGCAGTTCCATCGAATATTCTACTTTTCCAGATGTAGGTTGTGGCCCATCAGCAGTGATGGTTGGCCCATCACAGTGTTGATTCAGGATACTCACAACATTGATCAATACATTTACTATGTTTACAACTGTCCTAAATAAATACTAGGGCAACTTATTTTTTGATTCACCCCAGGAATTTCTATTTATTACTGCTAAATTTTATCCTACTACAGATTCACTATGGCACAAAAGATCAATTTGAAGAATTTGTCTTAATGAAGATTCAGGATCATCATCCTTTTTTTTGGACCAGTTTTGCATTTATACTGTATTTTCCATGATTTTGTTGAATATGTTTTCTGTGCCTTTGAGTTGTATTCTTCTCCTTCTTCTATCCCTATTATTCTTAGGTTTGGCCTTTTCGTAGTGTCCCAGATTTCCTGGAAATTTTGTGTTATGACTTTTTTGACTTTGATGTTTTCTTTGACTGACAAATCTATTTCCTCTATTGTATCCTCTATGCCAGAGATTATCTCTTCCATCTCTTGTATTCTGTTGATTATGCTTGTATCTGTAGTTCCTGTTCATTTACTCATATTTTCTATTTCCAGAATTTCCTCAGTTTGTGTCTTCTTCATTGTTTGTATTTCAATTTTCAGGTCTTGAACTGTTTCCTTCACATATTTAATTGCTTTTTCATGGTTTTCTTGGCATTCTTTAAGGGATTTATTGATTTATTTCAATTTTTGTTTGTCTTTTCCTCAATTTCTTAAAGGGAAAATTTCATTTCCTTTTTAAAGGCCTCTATCATCTTCATAAAGTTATTTTTAAGGTCACTTTCTTCTACTTCTTCTATGTTGTGATGTTCAGGTCTTGCTGTTGTAGAACCGCTAGGTTCTGGTGATGCCATATTGCTTTTTATGTTGTTGTATGTATTTTTGCACTGGCATCTACCCATCTCTGCCTCCAATAGGTACAAAAGGTGCCTGTGTCTGAGCGAGCTGCTCTTAGTCCAATCTGTGCTTGCTGTATCTGTGTCTTAGGGGGCTTAGGTGGAATCTTAGCTCTTGATCTAATTGGAGCTGACTGATTCTGTGTCTCAGGGAGCTGCTCTTGGTCCTATCAGGCCTCTTGGTCCAATCAGAGCTTGTGGATTCTGTGTCTCAGGGAGCTACTGGGGTTGTCAGAGGATAAGTATGTTTTGGGTAGGGTGTAGGTCTTGTAGATTGCAGAGTCCGATGGGGGATTTTGTTGGGACAGCCTGCCTGCAGGAGTCTTCTCTGCTGGCCGACAACAGGGACAGCGATGCATGGGGGTTCCTGGGGACTGGTTATGTCCCAGGGCCTAGGTCAGACAGGCAGGACTCTGGGTGGGAGAGGAGTCACTCATCTCTTGGTCCAATGAGAGCTGGTGGATTCTGTGTCTCAGGAAGCCACAGGGGTCACAGGGGGATGGGTAAGTTTGGGGTAGGGCATGGGTCTTGTAGATTGCAGGGTCCAATGGGGGTTTTGGTGGGGGAGCCTGCTCGGAGGAGTCTTCTCTGCTGGCCGACAACTGGGACAGCGATGCATAGGGGTTCCTGGGGACCGGCTGTGTCCCAGGGCCTCTGGCCACACTCTTAAAGCCTCTTGTCATCCTTGCACTTTGCTCTGTTCAACTACCTAAATATCACAATCAAGCCACATTTAGTCAGTTAGTCTTGTGATACTGTGTGTGTGCACGAGTACGTGTGCATGCATGCATGTGTGCTATATGCAAATGTTTGTTTGGGATTTTCCTGTACACATGAAAGGCCAATGAGGAAAATCAGATGTTTTCCTCTATCACTCTTGTTATTGCTTTGAGACAGGGTCTCTTATTGAGCTAGAAGATTGTCATTTCAGTAGAGTTGGCTACCCAGTGAGTGTCTGGGTTTTTACCTGTCTTCATCTGGTGGTGAGATTATGAAAATGTGCAGCCATGTCCAGTTTTTTATGAGTGCTGTGGTTTCAAATGTAGGTCCTCATGCTTTCACAGGAAATGTTTTCACCTGCTGAGCCATCTACTCAGCCCTCATGTGGCATTTTTTTTAACCATAAATTTTATCTGTGGCTATCAGTCATGTTTTGTGGCTAGCTGCATTTCCTCACATTGTTCATTATATTGATATAACACATTTCACTTAAGCACAATTTTGACAACCATCTAACAGTACCATCTAATGGTAGATTCTCATAGTTTCGTATTCTGTTATAACTACTAAATCATTAAAAATGTGTTTAATTGTACATTTCTTCCTTCAATGTCAAACTTTTTGAAAATTATTATTATATAGATCATTCATTTTTCTTTTCTATCCTATAAAAAGTTACCATAATTTCAGTAAAAGTGTACAACCTTTGTTTTAAAAACTTCACTAACTGAGACTACTTTAAGAAAATTTTGACTCATTTATTAAGAGCTTGTGAGAAGAAAAACATTAAAAGATAAGATGAAAGTAATTAAGTGGAATCTTGCCTTTGCTAAGTAGCATCCAGTGTATTATTTACTGATGTTGTCATGATGACAGAACACTTGGCAAAGGCATCTTAAGTAAGGGAAGTTTTTCTCTTTTGTTTTGGCACAGTCATTGTGCTCTGGAAGTCATGGTGGTGAGAGCGTGAAGCAGCTGGTCAGCTGTGTTTGCAGTCAGGAGGCAGAGAGAGATCACTGTTGGTGATCAGCTCACTCCCTTCCTGTGAGTCAGAGTTCTCAGCCCATGGAATGGTGTTGCCCAGTGCAGGCTGTGTCTTCCCACTGCAGTTAACCCAGTCTAGTTAACTCAGTCTAGTAGATGCTCATGGACATACCCAGAAGCCTGTCTATTGGGTGATTCCTGCTGACAACCAGTATCGACCACAGCATGAGATGACAAGTGTGTGGAGTATATTGCAGGAAGTCATTAATGGAGCAAAAGAAGTCTCCCTAGTTAACTAAAAGTCAAAGTTACTTCTTTTCCTCCCATTCCCTTTATATACATTTCCTTGCATTAAACAAGATACAGTATTTTTCCTGAGATTATAAAGTCAGAAGTCAATTGCCATTCTTTCATTTCTTAAAACCATACACCACCAACACAGCAATTTCTCTAACATATAAATCCCTATCATCTAAACTTGTTTGTTTAGATGAATATCATCTAATTGTAGGCTAAAACGTAATTATGGGATATTATCTTAAAGTTCACTATGGATGACTTCACCACACCCACAGCTTTTATTCAGATAATAGAAACGAACTCTTGAACACACATAATTTTAAATGGCAAAGAGAACTTTGCAAATGTCTTATTTATAACCTATAGCTGAACAAACCTCTCTAGTTCCTTTTTGTCTTCTTCTCTTTCTTCTCTATTCTTCCTTCTTTCATCTAATTGTTTCTTCCAGGAAAGAGAACAGAGCTAGAGGAGAAATGATCTCACCAGAGTTGTGGAAAGCTAGGACTGAATAGGTTAGTACAACTTCACACAGGCATAGCTGTGAATGGGTTTTCACTAATATAATTTATTTTTTAATGGGTTTCACATATATTTTTAATTTATATACCAATGTGTAAGCCTATAAAGAGCAAATAATATAGTTAAGATGTGTGTTTCTATTATAGGAGATACACAAAACATCAAATCACTTATTAAAACTAACAGGTGGAGTAGTCAAACCCTATTCCCTAAGGAAGAGTAGGCTAAAATACTGTAAGAGCTAGAAGGGATGTATGGCACACACACACACCCACACACCCTAAGGCCTTTTAAACACATAAGGATTGAGGCACATATGAATTCACAAATAGTATGGTAGCATGCACATGACATGCGCGAGTCTAAGTATGATGGGATCTCAGTGCTGATAGGAGAGTGGACACAAACATCCATCCCTAATTCAGAAGCTCTCTCTAATTGACAAGCACTCACAATAGAAAAACTAGTTTTCTCTAATGAAGTCTCAATGAGTAGACAAACCACACTTCTTTATGGGCAAGCCTCATGTCCAACAGTGGATGACAAAATAATTTCAGTTACAGTTTTTGGAGCTTTTTGTTTTGTAAACTTACAGGTCCTTTCTGTGTATAGTAT